ACGTAGCAGACGTGGCCTCCCAAAAAACGTACGGACAAAGGCCCGATTCACACGTGCGTCGTTTTTTGTGTCGGGCGTCGTTCGACGCGCGCGCAAGCTGTACGACACATTTTTCGATCGTATAAACAGGCCCGCCACCGCCGCGCGGCGCCTTGTGTCGTTTTTTTCTGTGGCACCTTCAGGAGGTGCCACAAGTGCGTCGCGGCACACAGCGGGATGTCTGCGGCGAGTAAAAGCATCATGTAAACAGACCTGCGTCGCGCGCAGCTCGCGCAGCCCATTTCCGCATCACAGAAGGTCAAATTTCTTCATTCCCGCGGTAGCCTGAAACCCACGCCACGCTCCTCTGTTTGTATCTATTCATTCCACTTCTGTATCAATTTCTACTTGTTGTTAGTTGTTTCTTCGGATTATTTTGTACGGCCTTGTTTGCTGGACCAGCGCTGAAACGTGCTGTTTGATCGGGCTGGGGAACTGTGACAGAATTCAGAGCAAAATGGAAACTTTTTATAGAAAGAAGGAGGCCTTCGGAGACATTGCCGGGGGCACGAAGCAAGAGGGATACAATAAGACCTCCAAACGAGTCCAGAAGAAGATAAGAGACCTCAAGTACTCGTACCGGAGAATCAGGGATTCGAACAGTCGTAGCGGCAGGTCAGAGTTCACCACATGTGACACAGCGCGACGCAGACCGCCACAGCTGCGACGCGATGCGGGAGCTGCGGTCCCTGTGTGTAAACGGGAAAGTGTCGTAGGTGACACGTTCAATTATAATAACCAAATCCACAACTACCACACTAGACAATCACATCTCCTGCACAGACCCAACTACACGTCAAAAGCAGGACAACGTACCTTTGCGTACAGGGCAGCAGTAACATACAACTCACTAAAATGTAACCTAAAACAAGCACTCACACTTAAAGCCTTTAAAGACAGACTAAGATCTGAACCCATCTGACACCTGACTACCTAATGACGATCTCGACAACCTTGATTTAACTATGTTTATTGATTTGTTTGATTTGTTTATATGATTTATCATTCTTATTTTCAATTATTACTACTATGTTGTACCATTTCTTAAGTTACTCGGATTTTGACCTCTGGCCCTCCAAAGACCACTGACCGATTGTTGTGCTTAATTTATGTTAATTTAATCTATGTTATATTATCTTTCCTGTATATCTTGTTTGCATTATATTCTTGTTTATTTATTATGGGCTCTCTTGGAAATCAGCCCCTCGGGGCTGAAGAGACTACCCATATGTTGTTAAGATAAATAAATAAATAAATATAACTAAAAACACAACAGTTGGATACCGTTGGGGAGTTTGGGGAGAACCCCGCGATCAGCACGCTAGCCTGAGGGACCACCGACACCGACTACCTCTCCAACAATGTAGCTGGGCTACACGCGGCCTGGGGCCGCACGTCCGAGCAAACAACGGCCTGGGGCCATAGCGTAGCTGGGCTATGCCGGTAAGTATGGCAGCCTGGTGGCTGCAGGTCCCCTCTAGCTACGGCCTGGGGCCGTAACGTAGCTGGGCTACTCTGGTAAGTATGGCGGCCGGGGTCCGCATGTCCTTTCTGACTACGGCCTGGGGTCGTAGTAAAAGTTTAAGTATGGCGGCCTGGGGCCACATGTACATGTTTCCTCAAACAACGGCCTGGGGCAGTAGCGTAGCTGGGCTACGCTGGCAAGTATATATATATGGCGGCCTGGGGTCGCATGTCCCCTCTAACTTCGGCCCACCCCCCCCCCCGCCCAACCCCTTCTTTTAGTCTGCCTCCTCGTATCGCTTGCATGAGTTGTTTTATTTTTTGTATTCACTTAAATTTATTGAGTTAGGGGAAAAGCACGGGTTGCTTATATGACATATTACAAGAAGGTACCCTTACAGCAATTGAAGTTTGAACTGCATCTAAGACTCTACAGCTTATAGGTGTAAAAGTGACGTGGGCCATCGCGGTAGCAGGTGCTCATTACAACTATTGTTGCGATGCTGCAGCTCTACTATGTTGGAAAGAGATGATAACAGAGAGTTTTTTGACGAGAATAAAGTTTACGATGCAGAAGGTAGTATTCGGTTGATAATCTACGATAGCCACACTTAAGTACACATGTAGAGTAGTGAAAACAGTATAATCTCGAAACAGATGATGGCTTAATTGATTGAAACTTAGGACGGAGTGAGAGAAAGGGGAGCGTTTTGTCGGTCTGTTGAGTAGTGACTCCAACTCCTTTTTTAAGATTTTATCGTGAAGGAGGCTTAGATATTGCAATTGGGGGTAGATCATTTCCACAAGGAAGCAGTTGAGGGTAACATGATTTTAAAATACTTGTCAGCTTAACAAACGATAGGCGAGAAATTCTGGTCGGCGAAGGTTGTGTGGGACGGAGTCACGAATGCGTGATGGATTGAGATCTTGTAAATATTGGGGGAAAATCCGATAAAATTTTCCAAAATTGGATCAGTGCATATTTACCTTCTGTCAGTCAAGGTATCCAATTGCAGGAGAAGAAGAAACATCAGGAACTAGAAAGGCCGACATTTGCTTTGGAGCAAATTCAGCATGACTTCACCACATTTCACCACATGGCAGGGAACGAAGGAGAAATACAAGGGAAAACAATTCTTTACATTGATATAACTATAGTATGAAGTGACAACAGTTGGATAGCTATCCCTTACAATATTGGTTGGGATTTTTAATTGCATAATGCAAACTGTTGATTTTCTAGATAAAAAGGAGCGTTTACGCCCCGCCTTCCAATGCTGAAGCAGGAAAGCTTGACATAACAGTTACATGTACAGTACAGGCCACGAAATACGGCATCAAGTTCTGCGGGACGTACCGCGGCTGCGATATTCCGCGAGACGTTCCGCAATATCCCGTAGTGGAGCACTCGAGGGGCGGGGGCGCTTCGTAATGTGTGCCCGCAGATCTAGAAATTCCGGACAATTTTGATCGTAAAAAATCGTACAATTTGTAAATATAGCGATCTTGGATTCGGATGTATTTGAGGCATACATTTGTAATGAACAGATTCGTGTATAGTCATGTATGTATAAGCCCCCTTCTCTTCCGCAACTCCGTACGTCAACCTCCCCTATCTAGGAGATTTCCTTCTTTATCAGGTTCGCTTTTGAACCTCCTTGATGTAACGTAACTATCAACCCGGCTAACACAAGCAGTGGCGTTTCCCATTACCAGTGGACAGTGCTAATTTAACTACAAATGTAGTATACAAGGGGATAAAACACTCATGTCATTATGTCTTGAGAGTAGTAGAAGGTAAGGAATTTCAAGTTAAGTTACCTTACTTTCCCAGCGGTATGTGGAGGTAGTTTGAATTGAAACAATCAAGAAGTTATGCTCATAAAAAAAATCAGCTACCTGGGAAACTATGAGAAATCTGTCAGCTGAGATTTTCTATACCTGCCGTATGTCTCCTGTAGGAGAAGGACCGTGACTCAAGGAAGACAAACTACGGCTCCACCTGGACGTCCCTGCTCAACTCCCTGTCACACCTGGCCATGGCGGAGAAGATGTACGCCTCACTCAGGTACCTGGGGCAGAAGAAGTGGTTCAGTGGCAGAGAGGTAACTCCACTTTGGTTTGATACCCACACAACATTCAGGTATTACTGGACCGTATTGTAAAATGTATCAAGATGTTACCAGTGTGCCAATTTGAATCATTATCTGCTATATACTACCGGTAGTAGCCCAATGAATAGATTTATAAATAAAATCTCAGGATACCAAGTAGCATAAAGAAAACTTTTTACTAGTAAGTGGCTTGACATACCACCCAAAATTTTGGGTTGTATGTCAAGACACTGGCTGGTTTTAGAATGGATCAGTTAGGTGTATTTAGACATCGGAAATACCTGTAGGACTATTTTGCCTGCAAATACAGGTGGTATTTTGAGCCTTGGCGATATATACCAGTACTTCTATAGCATCTATATCATGTCAACTGGAGATTAGCAATTATTGCATGTACAAACAACTATTAAGGTGCATATTTAACTGTAGGAGTTCTGGAAAAATTAGTTCTTTGTATCTTCATCACATGTAAAGTGTTGTTTTGTGTCATCATCCCAGCAGAGTCAGAAGAAAGGTTTTGAGCTGTTTGGCAGCACGTCCACCAAGGTGCCGCAGGTCCCCCCTCTACACCAGTGGCTGCTCAGTTTCAAGGCTGCCCTCGTTTCCAAGGTGATGAAGAACATTCCATCAGATTGTGATGTTTCACTCACTGAATATTTCTGTTGCGCCAGTTTACTATAACTTCCATCAGCATGTATGATTTTCAGATTTTGCTAATTACAAGTGATATCTAATCTGTATTTTCTTTTTTATTTCTTTAGTTCTCCTTGTATTTCAATGAGACTCTGAGTAAACAGTCCAGCCCACCTGAGATGAAAACCCTTCTAGCAAAGACATCATGTGACTACATGGCAAGGTAAGCAATGACGTTCCTTTACTAGATAGGGTGGACTGAACGTACATGTACAATGTAATCTCCAAGCAGATACTATGTATGGTAGCAAGGCACTAGTGGCTATATTGGACACTGCTTCCCAATTCGATACTGTCATGCCACTTTAGGATCTGCTTGGAGATTAGACTAAAGGCAGATTGAATGAAAGAAAGCTGCAGTACAGTAAATGTAAGTCCCATTTGAAGAATGTTTGTATCTGCACTTAGTCAACCTTTTTTTAAACCGATCAAAGTATAATATACATGTATCATTTTAAGCCAGAATATTTTGCCTATGTAGATTTCCTATCATGTTCAATGCTTTATTCATTTTACGTCAGTGAAAGTTAGTTCTTCGGTGTACTTTATTCATCTAGATTGGAGCCTTTTCCTTTACTGGTAAGGTCAACTCTTGCTAGGTTTCCCCATTTTTGCATGATATAATTAAGCCTAGTGTACGACCCTAACTCACAGGTTTGCCACGTCTTTGCGGAAATCGGATGTGACCAACCTGTCGATTGTTCTGGACACCCGGGGACTGGAGAAAACGTATAAGGGCCACGGGTACCACCACCCTGCAGCCAAGCTGGAGCCGCCCAAGGGACTGGACAGTTACCCTGCCATCGTGTCTGTACCAGGGGTAAGCTAGGAGGCTCACTCTCCAAGCAGAGGTTTGGCATGGCTACAGACTTTTTGTTATTGCGCTCTGTGAGGCTTTCTGTTTTCTCAGTTTTTCTTTGGTTATCCTGGCCTAAGGAAAGAAAAACTCACAAAACACCTATTATTAGTAAAAAAAGTCCAAAAACAGACCTAACGTCTGCTTGCAGAGTACATGTACTAAGGCTTACTGTTGTCACTATTGATACTCGGCACAAAGCCTAACTTTCAGTTAAAGTAAAAATTTATCAATAGATGCCATGAAGATGGAAACAGAGCTGAGAGAAAACTGTTGTCACTGTGTAAAAACGTTTGTGCCGAGGGAAAGACTTTCCCCTCAGACTTTGCTATCATGTCGATATCCATTTCAGTGGTCTCCATTGCTAGTTAAGAGGTTTTACCTGAAATAGAATTTAGAAAGCAGTCCAATTATTATGATTGACTGTTTACCAGACTGAGTGTATATTTCATTGTGGTTGATTTCCCCTGTTAGGAGAGACCGAAGCATCATTGGCCCAACCTCATCATGATCATGAACAACAACGCTGCAGAAATGAACACCATGGAGAGGATAGTTTACTTCCACGACAAAGTTGGAACTTTCTTTTGCTTTGAGTATGGCTCTCCAAAATAGTGGGTAATGCAAATATTTAAACCCCTTGATCTGTGTACCTAAATGACTTGCTCTCTGGTGATAACTGCTGTGAAGCACACAAATGATGTGAATGACACCCTGGTTGCCAGCCTATTTTAGCCGCCAAGTCTCTTTTGTCCTCTTTGCAAATAGTGGAGACTCAACGGCTAAAATAGGTTTGGCAACCAGGCTATGTGAATGAAGCTCTCCAAACAAAAAGAAGAGTCCGACTCATACTTTCATAATATTGTCACATCATCAGAATCTGACTCTGAATTGGTCAACCCTTGGAATCTAACACTGCAGATTGTACCTATTCTACTATACATGTATTGCAATACATATGCTATGTATCTTTGCAACTCCACCATTTCATATTGACAAAGCAACTTACATCTGTTACATCTTTAAGCACTTCCTTTATAATGAGAAATTTTGGTAAGTTGACATATTTTTTTACTATCCTAGGCCTTCCAGAGCACCTACTACATGATAAGAATAGAGCCGAAGATGACACTGGTGGTGATATTCGAGACCAAGAGAGCAGAGAAGGACTCCTATGTCAATACATTTCTTACAGGTTATTTTTTTGCACTTTCATTATTGCGCTAATTTGTGACATGATGCTAATGATAATGATGACTTTTACATCTGGATCTGGCATAGATAGACCACTGTTGACTGACCAAAAAGATTGCAATATACATTTTGTACATGTGAGCATGTGAGCAAATGAAAGTTACACCATACAAAAGTCTTGAAGATTAAAAAGCATGAATTAGTCAGTGTTAGATCTAATTGGCAAAGAGAGAGAAAAAGATGGGTTCACATTCAAGAAAAGCTTTGCTGAACATAAATTATTCAATTAAATTGGCAGAGAAAAAGAGAGAAGAAAAAAAAATAGCTTTAGCTGCTTCCTGCAAAATTTGTCCAGTCCATTTAGAGTGAGGGATGGTGACACCTGAGTGCCCTATTAAAGCAAATGTTTGGTGTTTACCGTGATCAAGTGTATTTTCAAATACAAGAACTCTGCCTTAGTTTGATCAAGTTAAATTTAAGTTCTGATGAAGTGTTAAAATAGAAACTAAGCCAGGTCGCTGTAGGAAGAGAAACAAATGCCTTCTACCTTTGCGCGAATACCTTCCACGTCTGCGCGAATACCTTCCTCGTCTGAGCAAATACTTTTCTCGTCTGCGCAAATACCTTCCTCGTCTGCGCGAATACCTTCCACGTCTGCGCGAATACCTTCCACGTCTGCGCGAATACCTTCCACGTCTGCGCAAATACCTTCCTCGTCTGAGCAAATACTTTTCTCGTCTGCGCAAATACCTTCCTCGTCTGCGCGAATACATTCCTCATCTGCGCGAATACCTTCCACGTCTGCGCGAATACCTTCCACGTCTGCGCGAATACCTTCCACGTCTGAGCGAATACCTTCCTCATCTGCGCGAATACCTTCCTCGTCTGCGCAAATACCTTCCACGTCTGCGCGAATACCTTCCACGTCTGCGCAAGGGGCCAGGGCAAGGGCCAGGGCAAGGAGTTCCACTGGGGGATAGTGCCCGGCATGTGTTCCTTGATAGGGTAGTATTTGAATGAATGGCCCCTGCAGGTGTGCCCCTTGGAGGGCTGCAAAAGACTTTCACAATTAATACATTTCAGTGGCCGTGTTTTGTGGTAAACTGATTCAGAAGTAAAAAAAATGTGTGTATAATAAGAGAAAGAAGAGTATAGTTTTGCAATTTTAGAGAAATTAGACAGACTTTAAGATAGTATACAATACTAATATGTAGGACTGTAGGCCTAGGTGGTTAAGTTATAATCATTTGTGGCTGTATTAATCGTTGCATCCTAGGAAAGACCGGTTTGGGTGGTTTCATATGAACAAGCTCCCATGTCATAGGTGAATCTTTGACATTCTGATCTTTTGAGTCACAATAAGCTTATCAAGGACAAAACAAGTTTGACGGCGCCATTTTATGCAGAAGTGATTCCAAGGCTTATCAGCACTGAAATATCTCTAACACTGACGCTGTATTTGTGGCCCCCAGGTGAGAATATAGTCACTGTACAGACTTTAGGTCTTTGTAGATGACTACTCAAAATATTTAGAAGGTTATCACACATCGTTTTGTGTTTCACAAAGTGTGTGATACAATAACTGCTAAAATGTTAGAAAGACTTCGACGCTTAGTGGCAGAGACTTTCTCTCACTGACTACCTCGATCTTCTGATTTCTAACTGAAAGCGTTACGCTTAAAAATACTAAATTTTGGTCAGAAAGTTGTTTGATTGAATGGAAAAGTACTGTATACGTCACAGTTAAGGTGGAGATAATTGGAAGGCGTGCCCAGATTATTCTTTATTTAACTTCATTCAGGCGAAAAGCAACAGCCGACTTGTTGCGGCTCCGTGAATGCACAAAACTACAGAAAGGTCACCCACAGAAAAAAATTAACAACGATAGTCAGGTCACCATACTTTCGTTGAGAGGACAATACGACGATAGCGATGTGTCGTCAATTCTAGTCGTTTCCCCTCAATCTAAGATTAAATTATTTTACTATAATGTCCTAGTCTCGCGTTATCTTGCGAGACTAGGATTATTCCGTGACCAAGACGAACTGACTAGTCGTCGAAAATTCGGAGGTATGTACCTTAGGATTTAATAGTCACTGATTGAAAGAATTATCTTACTGAACTTGTACTATAAGTGTTTACATGTGATATTTAGAGCGAGATTCTTGTTCCATACTATTTTTTTTATGTTGACGACTTACAAGCCGACTGTTTTGCCAGACTTTAGCACAGCGCGCCAGATGCAGTGTCAAGTTATACATAAATATCCACGATTGAAAACATTGAAACGTAAACATCTCTGACTTAAAACATTTAAACAAGCAAGCAACAAGCAACTAGAAGGGCATCCCATATATCATATAATGTTTGCACTGAACCAGAAATTTGTTGTTTGCTAATTAAATGGCAAGACAAGAAAAATGAAAGAAAAACACAAGTTTTGAAGGGCATTGGTCTGTGAAACACCGCACTGTGTACACAGGCCATGATTCAGTTTGTCTGTTTTTAGAGCCAACATGACTTGTGTCTAGACAAGGGGGCGTTCCGTCCGATCCTTACGTGTCCAATTCTTTTGTTGACACCAGCGTTAGAACCCTAGAGCAAAAGTGTGAGTGACGTCGGTGATCACGGAAGACAGGATTGGGGGTCTTACCAAGGACGCATAACGTTGCCATATATATAAATGGCTTGTTCATACATGAACAATACATGCATGACTGCTCTGATGTATGCGAACCATCCAATGCCAAATTCCACCACAAACATTGGAAGCCGTGCGCGAGGTCACTGATATCTTCAACACGTTTGTAACGTATTTAGCCTACAACTAGTACAAGTTACCATGCGACATTTCTAGCAGGTGACACACTTGACATGTAAAACCCACTAACAGCTTCTGCAGATCATACTACCCTTGGTTAGTCCCGGTGGGCGTCAAGATCATTGTTGTGTTTGTACGTTCCAGGTCTAGAACTTGAAGAATCACGATGCTTCGATCGTGTCTGTCTGCCTATCTCCTGCGGATCCGTCCGCGGTCCGCCAGACGGTTGAAGAGCACGCTGACGTCCGTCTCGGAGAAGAGAGACGAGGACTTCGAGCCGACCGTCTACCCGACCATGCGGAATCACAACCGGCTCCGCCTCTACACACGGAGCTTGGTAGGTTCATATGTGCCTTACTATGTACATGTACTAAAATCTCAAGAAACTTTTAATATGTACGTATTTAATGTTTTATGATTTTATTGTGGTTTAAGCCGATCTTAGGTATTATGAAAAGAACAACAAGGGGTAACTTGGTACATGTACAACCAGTGTCATATCAAGTTATGAAACAGTGACTTGTTGTTTCATCGAGATGCGATGGTCCAGAGTTCAGTTAGTTTCTATTTGCTGGAATTCGGGGGTAGCTTGTCTGCTTTAAATATGGGTCATTCGTTCTAGTCTTGTCTATGCCGGGGTTTTTATTTCCCGAACGCCATTGTTCGTCAGCTGGTCTGTGTGACCTAACCTAATTTTCCTAATTTGGTGCATGGATTGATCCAGACACAGCACTTTAGAAACTGGGGCACCGGTATTGTGTACAACCCACTGACAACAAGTGGTCACTTCACAGCAGCGTTGGCCGGTATTTATTATTATTTTTTTTATTATTATTCGTACCCTTCCCCAATCTGCCAGCGCCTCAGGGAGGCATGCAGACAGGGACAAAAGTGGGAGGGGCTTATAGCACCTAGCAGTGGGCACTCCAGCCTAGTAACCAGACCGCTGTGTAGGTTCCTGGCTGAAAACGAAAGAATCGTTCAATCTAAAGGAAAACTAAAATAGTCCACAGTTAACGTTACCCAATATTATGGTCTACCTCGGTTTGAAAAATGTTTTATCTGTCTCGAGTTAAACATAATCTATGAGTTCTAAATGTTCAGGAACTCAGTAAATACAGCACCGTACATATAGACACGGGCCAAAGTAAATTTTGGGTAGGTTGTTGACTGAGAAGTTATAGGTTCCTGGCTGATAACGAAAGAATCGTTCAATCTAAAGGAAAACTAAAATAGTCTACAGTTATACAGTATTATGGTCTATCTCGGTTTGAAAAATGTTTTATCCGTCTCGAATTAAAATATTCCGTGAGTTCTAAATGTTCAGAAACTCAGTACATACAGCGCCGTACATATAGACACGGACCGTAGTGAACTTCGGGTAGGTTGTTGACTGAGAAGTTATAGGTTCCTGGCTAGTAACGAAAAAATTGTTCAATCTAAAGGACAACTAAAGTAGTCTACAGTTACCCCGTATTATATTTTATTTATTTATTTCTACTTCAAACATACATTGACAGGGAAATACACACATATACATGTCCATATGCCCTGAATTGCGTAAGTTTGTTACAAAACAATTGTACATACCATATGTGCTGACTGTCCTAACAAAAATACATATAGTAACAAACACTACACCAAGATCCAAGCTCACAGGCTGGTGGTTGGTCTAGGAAATAGAGTTATTATAAAGTCTGACTGCAGTGTGCAAGAAAGACTGTCTCAGTCGTTCAGTTCTGGCCTTGGGAAGAGTGAACGCACTGTTGTTCCTCAGATTCCTGCCAGTGGCTGTGCGTCTATCTGGGTTTGAAAAATGTTCTATCTGTCTCGAGTTAAACATAATTTATGAGTTCTAAATGTACAGGAACTCAGTACATACAGCGCCGTACGAATTGACACGGATATCCTGTAGTTTAACGACGCCTATACTATTTACGTCGGAAAGCTTGTTTATAGAACAAGGAAAGGAACCGGAATACAATGAAATATGTTTTTGGAAAGCTAATATAAACATTTAGAAAGGACTAATAATATGTTGTTGCATTTTCCGCTCTCAAATAAGTGTGAAAAACATGGAGCTTGCTAAAATTTAGGGAAAACTTTGCGACGGTAGGAAAAGACAAAGAGACGCAAGATTTCCTGTAGCTTAACGACGCCTATTCTGTATAGGGGAGATGTCTGCCGGTCAGCAGAAAGCTTGTTTATAGAAGGGGGAAAGGAACCGTAATACTGTGTTTTTGGAAAGCCAGACATAAACTTATAGAAAGGACTAGGCATGGTGTTGTTATATTTGGTCACTCTCAAATAGGTGTAAAAAAACATGGCGATTGCTTCAATTTAGGGACAACTTTGCAAGGGTAGGAAAAAACAAAGAGACGCAGCATTTCCTGTAGCTTAACGACGCCTATACTGTATAGGGGGAGATGTCTCCCGGTCGGCGAAAAGCTTGTTTATACATGTAGAACAAGGAAAGGAACCGTATATTTTTGGAAAGCCAGATATAACCATATAGAAATGACTAGGCATAATAATGTTAGATTTTGCGGCGATTCAGCGAGAAATCATGGAAGATGTCTAACATTTCAGGTAAAACCAAAGATGAAAAGCATATAAAATGCTTGTGTTTAGTCGCGCAAGGTTGGTAAGGACCTTATTCATAATAATCAAAAACATCGTATGACTTTTGAGATGCCTCTAGTTAACTCATTATACTTACCGCATTGCTTTTTTTACATTATATTTAAGTCCATGTAAAGCTTACGGAAAGAAACACGTTATATTAATGTGATATTTACACATGTCAAGCTCCTGAAGACCCCCCAAACCCCCAGTTTTCGGCATGCTATGGAGGCTATTATTTCTCCGCCGTGTAGATCCCGTCCGTGTTGAACACGTACCTGCCCGAGGCGGCCAAACACCTGGACCCGACCCCGTACGTCGCCTCCGCCACGGTCCTGCCCATGCGCACCAACAACTACGTGGTGCAGGAGCTGATCGACTGGTCCAACGTGCCCGAGGACCCCATCTTCCAACTGACCTTCCCGCAACCCGACATGCTCAAGCCTGAGGCACTGGAGCGAATCAGCAAGTGAGTAATTGTGCCATGTTAGTCTACTCTGTCAGTGTGTGGGTAGTACATTTTGTTTCTAACTAAAGCCTAGGTCACAATTCAAGAAAGGGGCCCGCTCGGCGCATGTTCGGCCTGTTTTTTGGCACTACCGAACGGGACCTGGACGGAGACCGGCGGGCTTCCCGACGGCTGCCGGCCTATTTTTGGCCCCGCGCGGTCGCCGAATTGATTTTAACTCAAACTTAAAATCACTTCGGGCCCCGTTCGGCAAGGTACCTCACTGCCCGGGACCCGTCGGGCGGCCGAACAGGCACTTGCCTAAGATTATGACGTCACATGTGCTGATCAGTGCATCAGGTGGTAAGGAAAATGGGGTTATATGGGACATATGTAAACTCCTTGTTCACACTACATTGCACAGTTCACCACGTGTGTGTTACACCATGTACTTGTGTGTGTTACACCGTGCACTTGTGTGTCAGAATGCCGATGGGCAGTGGAAAACCCGGCATACATGTACCTCAGGAATGAACAGTGACATTGTGTTGCATGTGGGCTACCCTGAAGGCAAACTCCAAGGATTGGTAGCTATTCCCGGTCACCAGGAAGCGTAGGGTAATGGCGAGTTTTAGGCCTGCTGACAAGGGCTGTTTAGCACTGCATAGAATTAAACAGAAGTGTTACATACAGACTGGACTGTAATATCTAGATTTTCTGTTATTATAAATCATTATGGATACATTGAAATGTGTTAAGAAGTAGAGGGCATTCACAAAATTATAATATATATATAATAAAAACGTTGTAGGAGGTCGTGAAACATCAGTGGTTCCATTCGCAGGAAGGACTTAAAGTCGCAATGATGTTCGCGACAAAGCTCCCTCATCAGTGTACGTACACGACGGGAGCCCGTCGGGATCCCCCTGGACCCCGTCAGGGACCTGACAGCTGCCCGGCCGAACTGTAAGAGCCGGTCGGCACCCTACCACACGCCGCACGGGTCAAGACGGGAGACTGACCGGGCACCGGACGGGTCCCTGACAGAAACCGGCCGCCAAGGGGACCAAAAGTTTATGAATATTAATTAGAAGACGCCTCAACGCCGGCCGGAGCACAACCAGGCCCCGACAGGGAGCCGTAAAGGAACATTTAATTGTGACCCTGAAAGTCGGCGCACGCTCGGCGTCATGACGCCGGCCGGCGTCTACGCCGAGGACATGCCGAACGGGCGCCGTTTCAAATGTGACCTAAGCATAATGCAAATGTGACCTAAGCATAAGCATAAAGGTCACATTTCGGGGCCCGGCCGGGCAGTCTTTTGGAACGAAAAATATGGTATAAAAAGACAACAACGCATAAAACACTTGAAAAATATCATCAATGGAACTATTTGTGTATATTCTTGATAAAAATTGTTGATTTTTCGTTAATCGAAACAGCCCGGCCGGGCCCCGGCTTGGAAATGTGACCTCAGCATTAGGGTTGTGTCAAGAGGCCTTTGTGGTTACATATTTTCTTAGATAAGTACTAGTACATGATGAGTTTTTGGGGGGATGGGTACCATGCTGAAGAACTACATGTATATACTAGTATACGTCTGTAAACTAACTAAAACACTTTTGCGATTAAATATTTCACTTGTTCTTTGCGGACAAAACTAGGAATATTCGCGCTCTTTTGTTTTATTTTTTATTTCTATGACGGCATTTGTTGACATAAATACCGTGTAAAGTACCTAACTTACAGAAATATTATTTAATAACTGTTTTATTTAATTTCAACTGGACAGATCAAAATTATT